TTTAATCCCGCGATTTCTGCTGCGATATCACGCATATTTGCCGCACGATATCGCGAGGAGACGCTCCTCTAATGATTTTCTTAGGCGCTCGTCTGTCACGCGTCGCTTGTGCAGGACCCTTTTTCCCCGCAGATGTCTAGCGATTTTTCTTTTTTGCATGCAGCCCGACGGTAAAGGTCGCGCGATCGTCGCTTGAACGTCGCCAAAACAGTTGTGCTATCCCGGCCGCGCGGAAATCCGCTCGAGGTAAGTGTCGCATAGTGTGAATGGGGCCTAATAGAAACAATTTAAGAAGGAAGAATTTATTCATAATTTCGTTTAACGTTTTAGCTGCATTGAAGTGGTCAGTTAAAAAAAACTCTGCTAGTATGAAGTGCAGTCACCTGGAGATGTCATTATCACTGTTAACGAAAGTCTTACTGGCCAATTTTCTGGAATTTGCAGGATGTAGAAATGAAGAGGCAAACTATCAAAAATTTCAAGAACTTTCATAATGGCCCAACTTTTTTACCATCATTTGAAGGCTTTGGGTGCCCATACAGGTTTTTGTAGGCACACTCTACCTGCAGCATGTGCAAGTTTTATGGTGGAAATCTTCTTACTTAATTAGATGGTGGCCATTCTGGTTACTTAAGGTGACCTTGTGCCTAGGAGGGACCTGTAGAAGAATAGTTTACAGGGCGATAACCAAAACAATAAAGTCACACTGTTGGCTCATGAGAAAAATTGAATGCAAAAGCACCCTGTGAAAGAAAAAGCTCTATGGCCTGTGTATATGGGCACTTGTTCACATCCGATAGGTATTGTATTTCCATACAAACCCACAGGAATGGAAAACCCATTTGGAGTGGTCAGATGGAGGTCAAGTGCAGGTCAAATGCACCTTCCAATGAGTTTCAAATGACCTCAGAAACACCTCAAACTGATATATCACCTCCTCTGCTCTTCCTTTTTTATAGGGATCCCCCAAACCCTTCCATTTTCTATCTACACCTCCTCCCGTGGTCAGTTGATGACCTCCTATGGCTTCCAATATCAATCTCTATGCTGATGTCACCCAAATCTATTTATTGTCTCATTGGGCATCACTAAATTACCAACTGACATGCCAGTATGGATATCACAACACTCCTTAAAACTAAATCTCTCTAAAACTGAGTTCATAATATCCCCCCCTCCAACATTTCCATCAATATGAATAACACAACCATTAATCCTTTCCTTCATGCCAGTGTGCTAGGTGTAATTCTGGACCCTGACCTCAACTCCAGGCCCCAAATCCGATCACTGTCCAAATCTTGCCATCTTCATCTCTGTAACATCTTGAAAAATATCCCTTTTCCTAACGAATGACACCACCAAGATATTAATCCACTCTCTTGGTATCTCTTGCCTTGACTATTGCCACTGCCTCCTCATTGGCCTACCTGTGCACAGGCTATCCCCCCTTCAGTCTATCATGAATGCTGCTGCCAAACCTATACACTTTACCAACCGCTCAGTGTCTGCAACCCTCCTCTGCCAATCCCTCCACTGGCTTCCAATCGCCCAAGTAATACAATTCAAAATTTACAACATAGAATGAGGCGAAATCAATGATTTCCACCTCGTCCATTCAGAGAACGCCTTACATTATTTGAAGAAATACAATGCGTTCTCAATACGGGACTTCCCGTTCTCTGTGTGCAGAGGGGAAGCCACTGGTAGATCCCAGCTATGTCTGTAAGTAATGCAGACTACTACAGTCATTTACAGAATCCCCAAAGTCTCGCTGGAGATCAAATATGGATTCTTCCACTGAGCCAAGCTGGACCAGTGTAAGTCTGCAAAAAAAAGGGAGGCCATGGTTGTACTTTATAAGGGGAATTCTCATCAATTTGGGACATTTTCTCTAACTTCCTGTTGTATCTCTAAGACATGAAGTGATGGAAAATCTCCCCACTGGACAGCTGATAGGGGTTATAACCCTTCCCTACTCTATCCTATAATAATATAAAATAGTTTTAGCTATACAGTGTGCAGGCTAACCAGGAGAGCAGAAAACATGTTGACTACTAGACATGCGCAGACGAAATTTTGGAAATTCGGATGTATCCGAATTCCGAATTACAGCTATAACAAATGCAAACAAATCCGAATTTCCGTTTATGGAATACGTTAGCAGTAGTCTGTACGAAATTTCGTTTGTTGGACGAAATTTCGTTGCAGCAAAATTACATGAGAGGAAAAAAAAACGTTTTTTTTCCTCGGATGTCACTTTGCTTTCATGAACGAATGACTAAAGGAATGAAACGAAAATTTGTACAGACTATCGCTAGCGAAGTTTGTCCGAATCCGAATTCCGAAACAAATTGATTTTCGGACTCGAATCCTGAAAAACGAAATAAAGGCAAAATCTGAATAAAAATGAAACAAAACAATTTTTTTGCAGGTGCACATGTCTAGTGACTACATATATTTCAGTGTGAGCTGACAAAGCTGCATTCAACTATTGGATTTAATACAGGAGTCGGCAACCCAGCCAGGTAAACAACTTGGCAGCTGGTTTGCAACCTCATTCGTTATCTCTTGCAATTGACAGCTCCCTCGAGCCGGCTGTCAATTACATCCCTGGCCCACCCACCTCCCTCATGTGACTGAGCGGCATAGGAATGCATAAGCGTGCTGAGGAGGCTGGTCTGAGGTCTGCAGTGCGTTGGTGCTGGTCTGAGTTCTGCCATGCATTGGTGCTGGTCTAAGGTCTGCAGGGCACTGGCGCTACTCTGACGTCTGCAGGGCATTGGTGCTGGTCTGTTTGCAGTGCGTTGCTGCTTGACTGAGGTCTGTCATGTGTTGGTGCTGGTCTGTGCTTTGCAGTGCGTTGGTGCTGGTCTGAGGTATGCAGGGCTTCGGTGCTACTCTGAGGTCTGCAGGGCATTGGTGCTAGCCTGAGGTCTGCAGGGCATTGGTGCTAGCCTGAGGTCTGCAGGGCATTGGTGCTGCTCTGAGGTCTGCAGGGCATCTGTGCTGGTCTGCGGGGCATTGGTGCTGGTCTGAAGTCTGCAGGGCATTGGTGCTAGCCTGAGGTCTGCAGGGCATCAATGCTGGTCTGAAGTCTGTAGGGCATTGGTGCTAGCCTGAGGTCTGTAGGGCATCGGTGCTGGTCTTTGGTCTGCAGGGCATTGGTACTGCTCTGAGGTTTGCAGGGCATCGGTGCTGGTCTGAGGTCTGCAGGGCATTGGTGCTGGTCTGAAGTCTGCATCACCTCCCTCATGTGACTGAGCGGCATAGGAATGCATAAGCGTGCTGAGGAGGCTGGTCTGAGGTCTGCAGTGCGTTGGTGCTGGTCTGAGTTCTGCCATGCATTGGTGCTGGTCTAAGGTCTGCAGGGCACTGGCGCTACTCTGACGTCTGCAGGGCATTGGTGCTGGTCTGTTTGCAGTGCGTTGCTGCTTGACTGAGGTCTGTCATGTGTTGGTGCTGGTCTGTGCTTTGCAGTGCGTTGGTGCTGGTCTGAGGTATGCAGGGCTTCGGTGCTACTCTGAGGTCTGCAGGGCATTGGTGCTAGCCTGAGGTCTGCAGGGCATTGGTGCTAGCCTGAGGTCTGCAGGGCATTGGTGCTGCTCTGAGGTCTGCAGGGCATCTGTGCTGGTCTGCGGGGCATAGGTGCTGGTCTGAAGTCTGCAGGGCATTGGTGCTAGCCTGAGGTCTGCAGGGCATCAATGCTGGTCTGAAGTCTGTAGGGCATTGGTGCTAGCCTGAGGTCTGTAGGGCATCGGTGCTGGTCTTTGGTCTGCAGGGCATTGGTACTGCTCTGAGGTTTGCAGGGCATCGGTGCTGGTCTGAGGTCTGCAGGGCATTGGTGCTGGTCTGAAGTCTGCAGGGCATTGGTGCTAGCCTGAGGTCTGCAGAGCATCGGTGCTGGTCTGAAGTCTGTAGGTCATTGGTGCTAGCCTGAGGTCTGTAGGGCATCGGTGCTGGTCTTTGGTCTGCAGGGCATTGGTACTGCTCTGAGGTTTGCAGGGCATCGGTGCTGGTCTGAGGTCTGCAGGGCATTGGTGCTGGTCTGAAGTCTGCAGGGCATTGGTGCTAGCCTGAGGTCTGCAGGGCATCGGTGCTGGTCTGAGGTCTGCAGGGCATTGGTGCTGGTCTGAGGTCAGCTGAAAGTAACATCCTACGGCCCAGACATAGCACAACTGAGCCATGAAATGTAGACACAAGGATCACACTACATCTGTGAGTCCAGTTTACTTCTCAGCACATGTAAATATGAACATGTTTTGTGTGCACTAGTTATTACATTTTTCCCCCTCATAGTTGTGCTGCTAATGGCAAAGTAAACACATTGAAATAACGAGTGAGTTGAACTTTCTACTAGCAGTACAACTATAAGTGTAAATATTGAAATGTAACTATCACTACAAGGTGCTATTGTTCACTGGCACCAGGTTGTCTGATGGCACTTGGTGTGTAAAATATTGCTGCCCTCTGATTTAAAGCGTTATTAAATCCTCAACTTTTTTTGCATATATCTACTGCTAGCAAAGTAAGTCTATGGACAGCGTGCACCCGCATGCAGACCTCATGGGAAAGGAAGTGCCAGCAAACACAGAGGAGTCAGCGATGGATCTGAGACCCGCAGCAGCAGGAAAGAAGATTGGATTAAGAGACATCATTTAAGGTAAGTCCTTTCACTAACATTGGGGGGAGGGAAAAAAATATATACTTTAATGTCACTTTAATAGTCAGATTTAAAAGCCAAATATTTATTTATTTAATAAACTCTGGCACAATGTGCTTGTGAAAACAACAGTCACGTTCACATTCGTTCAGAGCTCATGTGAGGCCGATCAGGACTTTTCCACTCAGTCTCATATAACTTCCAGTTCCTACAAGTACAGACTCGATGTGCACTGCAGAATGGAACGCACAGCTTCCTGTGTTGTCAGCAGTGAGTGGGCGCTGCGGTGGGTGGTGCTCAATACTGGCTCCTCCCAGGGGCGTACGCTCCGTTCTGTGGAAGGAGGTAGGGGCGGTACTCGGGTCTCGTCCCTCCCAGGGGCGTACTCTCTGTGTTATGCCAGTAGGAAGGGGGCGGGGTATCGGCCCGGCTCCATCGTCAACAAACCTCGCTCCCCCGGATTTATGTGCCGCATCAGAAAGTAAGTGTCAGAGACTCCGTCCAGGTCCGGACCGGGCACTGCCCATGTCAGCTCCGGGAGTACGGTCCGGTATATGTGGGCTGCACTGTGTTGTGGCAGAGCAGCAGGGCAATGCTTCATTTACTATGAAGTCCCCGGGCTGTGATGGTGGTAATGTAATATTTCATGTATTCCTTTATCTGAGTCAGGATTGTTGCTGGCAGGTGAGTGCAGTCTGTGCTCCGGGTCAGTGTGATATGAGTCGCTCTGGTATATGCAGGTGACATATCAGGATATACAGGTATCAGTGTGTCTGATGTGACCTCTCCTGTCATTACACTGTGATCAGGATGTATTGGAGTTCTAGTGAGAGCTCATGTACCCCGGTGTATAATTCATCTCTGTACAGTGTATAGGATTGTATGGATCTGAGCACAGCTGTACTGTATATGATGAGCCCATGTACACAGATGTACTGTATATGATGACCCCATGTACACAACTGTACTGTATATGATGGGCACATGTACACAGCTGTACTGTATATGATGAACCCATGTACACAGCTGTATTGTATATGATGGGCCCATGTACACAGCTGCATTGTTTATGATGGGCCCATGTACACAGTTGTACTGTATATGAGGGCCTCCTGTACACAGCTGTGTTGTATATTATGGGCTCATGTATACAGCTGTACTGCATATGATGAGCCCATGTACACAGCTGTACTGTATATGATGAGCCCCTGTACACAGCTGTACTGTATATGATGAGCCCCTGTACACAGCTGTACTGTATATGATGAGCCCCTGTACACAGCTGTACTGTATATGATGAGCCCCTGTACACAGCTGTACTGTATATGATGAGCCCCTGTACACAGCTGTACTGTATATGATGAGCCCCTGTACACAGCTGTACTGTATATGATGAGCCCCTGTACACAGCTGTACTGTATATGATGAGCCCCTGTACACAGCTGTACTGTATATGATGAGCCCCTGTACACAGCTGTACTGTATATGATGAGCCCCTGTACACAGCTGTACTGTATATGATGAGCCCCTGTACACAGCTGTACTGTATATGATGAGCCCCTGTACACAGCTGTACTGTATATGATGAGCCCCTGTACACAGCTGTACTGTATATGATGAGCCCCTGTACACAGCTGTACTGTATATGATGAGCCCCTGTACACAGCTGTACTGTATATGATGAGCCCCTGTACACAGCTGTACTGTATATGATGAGCCCCTGTACACAGCTGTACTGTATATGATGAGCCCCTGTACACAGCTGTACTGTATATGATGAGCCCCTGTACACAGCTGTACTGTATATGATGAGCCCCTGTACACAGCTGTACTGTATATGATGAGCCCCTGTACACAGCTGTACTGTATATGATGAGCCCCTGTACACAGCTGTACTGTATATGATGAGCCCCTGTACACAGCTGTACTGTATATGATGAGCCCCTGTACACAGCTGTACTGTATATGATGAGCCCCTGTACACAGCTGTACTGTATATGATGAGCCCCTGTACACAGCTGTACTGTATATGATGAGCCCCTGTACACAGCTGTACTGTATATGATGAGCCCCTGTACACAGCTGTACTGTATATGATGAGCCCCTGTACACAGCTGTACTGTATATGATGAGCCCCTGTACACAGCTGTACTGTATATGATGAGCCCCTGTACACAGCTGTACTGTATATGATGAGCCCCTGTACACAGCTGTACTGTATATGATGAGCCCCTGTACACAGCTGTACTGTATATGATGAGCCCCTGTACACAGCTGTACTGTATATGATGAGCCCCTGTACACAGCTGTACTGTATATGATGAGCCCCTGTACACAGCTGTACTGTATATGATGAGCCCCTGTACACAGCTGTACTGTATATGATGAGCCCCTGTACACAGCTGTACTGTATATGATGAGCCCCTGTACACAGCTGTACTGTATATGATGAGCCCCTGTACACAGCTGTACTGTATATGATGAGCCCCTGTACACAGCTGTACTGTATATGATGAGCCCCTGTACACAGCTGTACTGTATATGATGAGCCCCTGTACACAGCTGTACTGTATATGATGAGCCCCTGTACACAGCTGTACTGTATATGATGAGCCCCTGTACACAGCTGTACTGTATATGATGAGCCCCTGTACACAGCTGTACTGTATATGATGAGCCCCTGTACACAGCTGTACTGTATATGATGAGCCCCTGTACACAGCTGTACTGTATATGATGAGCCCCTGTACACAGCTGTACTGTATATGATGAGCCCCTGTACACAGCTGTACTGTATATGATGAGCCCCTGTACACAGCTGTACTGTATATGATGAGCCCCTGTACACAGCTGTACTGTATATGATGAGCCCCTGTACACAGCTGTACTGTATATGATGAGCCCCTGTACACAGCTGTACTGTATATGATGAGCCCCTGTACACAGCTGTACTGTATATGATGAGCCCCTGTACACAGCTGTACTGTATATGATGAGCCCCTGTACACAGCTGTACTGTATATGATGAGCCCCTGTACACAGCTGTACTGTATATGATGAGCCCCTGTACACAGCTGTACTGTATATGATGAGCCCCTGTACACAGCTGTACTGTATATGATGAGCCCCTGTACACAGCTGTACTGTATATGATGAGCCCCTGTACACAGCTGTACTGTATATGATGAGCCCCTGTACACAGCTGTACTGTATATGATGAGCCCCTGTACACAGCTGTACTGTATATGATGAGCCCCTGTACACAGCTGTACTGTATATGATGAGCCCCTGTACACAGCTGTACTGTATATGATGAGCCCCTGTACACAGCTGTACTGTATATGATGAGCCCCTGTACACAGCTGTACTGTATATGATGAGCCCCTGTACACAGCTGTACTGTATATGATGAGCCCCTGTACACAGCTGTACTGTATATGATGAGCCCCTGTACACAGCTGTACTGTATATGATGAGCCCCTGTACACAGCTGTACTGTATATGATGAGCCCCTGTACACAGCTGTACTGTATATGATGGGCCCATGTACACAGCTGTACTGTTTATGATGGGCCCATGTACACGGCGGTATTGTATATGATGGGCCCATGTACACAGCTGCGTTGTATATGATGGGCCCATGTACACAGCTGTGTTGTTTATGATGGGCTCATGTACACAGCTGGGTTGTATATGATGGGCCCATGTACACAGCTGTACTGTATATGACGAGCCCATGTACACAGCTGTATTGTATATGATGGGCCCATGTACACAGCTGTATTGTATATGAGGGGCTCATGTACACAGCTGTGTTGTATATGAGGGGCTCATGTACACAGCTGTGTTGTATATGAGGGGCTCATGTACACAGCTGTGTTGTATATGATGGGCTCATTCACACAGCTGTACTGTATATGATGGGCCCATGTACACAGCTGTATTGTATATGATGGGCCCATGTACACAGCTGGGTTGTATATGATGGGCCCATGTACACAGCTGGGTTGTATATGATGGGCCCATGTACACAGCGGTATTGTATATGATGGGCCCATGTACACAGCTGTATTGTATATGATGGGCCCATGTACACAGCTGTACTGTATATGATGGGCCCATGTACACAGCTGTACTGTTTATGATGGGCCCATGTACACAGCTGGGTTGTATATGATGGGCCCATGTACACAGCTGAGTTGTATATGATGGGCCCATGTACACAGCTGAGTTGTATATGATGGGCCCATGTACACAGCTGAGTTGTATATGATGGGCCCATGTACACAGCTGGGTTGTATATGATGGGCCCATGTACACAGCTGGGTTGTATATGATGGGCCCATGTACACAGCTGGGTTGTATATGATGGGCCCATGTACACAGCTGGGTTGTATATGATGGGCCCATGTACACAGCTAGGTTGTTTATGATGGGCCCATGTACACAGCTAGGTTGTTTATGATGGGCCCATGTACACAGCTGCGTTGTTTATGATGGGCCCATGTACACAGCTGCGTTGTATATGATGGGCCCATGTACACAGCTGCGGTGTATATGATGGGCCCATGTACACAGCTGCGTTGTATATGATGGGCCCATGTACACAGCTGCGTTGTATATGATGGGCCCATGTACACAGCTGCGTTGTATATGATAGGCCCATGTACACAGTTGCGTTGTATATGATGGGCCCATGTACACAGCTGAGTTGTATATGATGGGCCCATGTACACAGTTGCATTGTTTATGATGGGCCCATGTTCACAGCTGCGTTGTATATGATGGGCCCATGTACACAGTTGCATTGTATATGATGGGCCCATGTGCACAGCTGCGTTGTATATGATGGGCCCATGTACACAGCTGCGTTGTATATGATGGGCCCATGTACACAGTTGCGTTGTATATGATGGGCCCATGTACACAGCTGCGTTGTATATGATGGGCCCATGTACACAGTTGCATTGTTTATGATGGGCCCATGTACACAGCTGCGTTGTATATGATGGGCCCATGTACACAGCTGAGTTGTATATGATGGGCCCATGTACACAGTTGCATTGTTTATGATGGGCCCATGTTCACAGCTGCGTTGTATATGATGGGCCCATGTACACAGTTGCATTGTATATGATGGGCCCATGTGCACAGCTGCGTTGTATATGATGGGCCCATGTACACAGCTGCGTTGTATATGATGGGCCCATGTACACAGTTGCGTTGTATATGATGGGCCCATGTGCACAGCTGCGTTGTATATGATGGGCCCATGTACACAGTTGCATTGTTTATGATGGGCCCATGTGCACAGCTGCATTGTATATGATGGGCCCATGTGCACAGCTGCGTTGTATATGATGGGCCCATGTACACAGCTGCGTTGTATATGATGGGCCCATGTACACAGTTGCATTGTTTATGATGGGCCCATGTGCACAGCTGCGTTGTATATGATGGGCCCATGTGCACAGCTGTGTT